TGGTTTTACAGATTACATGTGTCATTAAGTAGCTGTCTGAATTGGTCTCTGGGCTCTGACCTTGCCACCATTCAGACTGCTGTTGAGTTGTGCTGGATCATAGTATTAGTGAAGCTGATAGTTTGAGAACTTTTTTTTAAATAGGAAATTAGGACTTCATCCTAGGATTAGTGGATTAGATTACTCTAGTATGCTCAGTACAGAGTTACTACTTTTGAACTCAAAATTACATTAAAATCTAGATAGTCCATGGAGTGAGATATGAGAGATGTACCACTTGAGTCAGATAACTAATCTTATTTATACGCTTGATATTCTAAAGAACTGAATTGCAGTTTTTATCCTGCTTAGTTTGGTTTGTTCCCAGGAAGTATTTTCTTCTTGACTATGGTATAGGTTGGCTGTTCAGATGGAAGTATTCGATTACACCAAATGACATCAGAGTATCCCCTCATGCAGTGGAATGACAGCACAAATGGCCGGCCAATTATTGCTCTGCAGTGGGCCTTAACAAGACCTGCTGTGTTTTTTGTCCTGGATGCATCATCTAATATTTACATTTGGGATCTTCTGGAAAATGATTTGTTGCCTGTGGTAAAGCAGACTATTCCATCAGAGAAGTACGTACATTACATTATTTTTAACAAAATATGTTATCATCATCTTCATTTTGATTAGAGTTTGGATGGGATTTTTTGCTTGATGCTAAATGTTCATTAGAATTTGCTTTTCTGACTGTATTTGTCAAACTGTTGGAGGTGTGGAAAGAGACTATAGAGAGTTAAATATTAGTTTATCCTTATTTACTTATTATTTTATACGCTCTGATAAAGGAGAAATAATGTTAGTATAAATCAAAATCAAGTATAGTGTTATCAGTTGGGACAGATGCCTGTACATGGAACAGTTGCTGTTTATATGAAAAGAAAAATTTTGTTCCCACTAAAATCACTGGACTGCTTAAGTTCAAAGATAGCTTTGCTGGATCAGGATCAACCCCTAAAATAGGCAAGATGTTAGGCAACATGTTAAAATGCCTATATATAGTATGTTTAACAATATAAAGAAATATATTGTGTGCATTGTCACAAAGTAAACAAGAATATTTTTGGCTAGCACGTATTCACCAAAACTCACAATACTATTCCTGTAGTCAGTGTAGAGATCTGGGTATCCTGTAGATTGAGGCAGAAAAGGAGTTTAATTTAGCCTTTGTGAATTATAGTCCTGAGGATTCTCTTTCCTCCCTGATGGGAGCCCTACTGGGAGACTCTGTCTTCCCAGTTAGTGGGAAATCCTCTTAAGTTAGCGATAGGGAGAGAGGAAATGGCCTCAAGCTGTGCCAGGGGAGGTTCAGATTGGATATTAGGAAAAAATTCTTCACGGAATGAGTAGTCAAGCATCAGAACAGGCTGCCCAGAGAGGTGGTGGAGTCATCACCCCTGGAAGTGTTCAAAAAAAGGGTAGATGTGGCACTTTGGGACATGGTTTAGTGGGCATGGTGGTGTTGGGTTGATGGTTGGACTGCTGATCTTAGAGGTCCTTTCCAACCTTAATGATTCTAAGTTTTACTTTCATTAAAAACAATCCAGCTACCAAGCCAGGAAACATGAAATTGCTACTCTACCCTTAATTGGTTTAGTGGTGGATTTGGTAGTGTTAGGTTAATGATTGGACTGGATGATCTTAAAGGTCTTTTCCAACCTAAACGATTCTATGATTCTCTAAGTTAGTCTCGGTGAATATCCCTCTAACTAGAAGTTTACCTTCTAGCCTTGTAAACTATAGCAAAGTGCTGCTAGTTTGGGGAGAAGATAATATAATTTTTAAAGTTGCTACACTGTACTGGAAAATACCATAAAAATAGTTCATTTTTACAAGCTTGAAATAATTTTTAAGTCATGATTAGAAATTGATGTTGGAATCTGTGAACAGGGGAAGAATTGTCTGTTATGTTTACATTAAATGATCACAGCTGGTGAAAAGCTAAAGAACATGCTGGGACTTGAAATAGTGAGGAATATCACAGTGTGATGAGCAGAAATATGGCATCATTTGTTTAACTATAAGTAACCTGCTAACAACATGTTTGAAAACACCTATTTTTATTAATTTTGCCTCAATTAAAAACACTCTCCCGTTCTTTTGATTTCAGTGTTGTAACTATGGCTCTACTGGGAGAACCAGAAAAAACAAACCGATTGTTAGGCATTGTGCTGGCCAAAGAATCTGGACAGATAGACATTCAATATGTAAAGAAGAAGTGGGCATTACCTCAGCCTGAGGAATCTGAAAAACTGCATCTGCTTTTATTGCAGTCTTTTTAGAAACAGTACCCCTGTCTGGGTGTCCAAATTATTGCAAAATATTTAATTATGTTTGTCTGTAATTAAAAGATTTGTAATGTAATTTTGTATTTGTATATATCTTGTATATATTTTAAAGAATATCAGTACAGTATTTCAGCTGAAACCATATATTTTATCACAAAAATGGCAGAACCAAATTTAGCGTTACTGTACTCAAAAAGATTATGAACTGTATTTCATTATTGAAAGCACTCTAGATGTATATATTTAAAAAAAATACTAAAAATATATGCCTATAAATTACGCTGCTGTTTCTCATTATTCTGCTCTGAAGTAAATGACAGCAATCCTTTGCCTCTGGGCCTTTTACACACTAACACTTGGTAAAACTTTCTTATATCCACCTAAAAACATTATGCAAACCATATCAGAATACAAATTTATGTTGCATGATATCTTACTTCTGATTTTGACCCTGAAACTTTGCAAACAGAATACCTGACTAACTCGAGTTGTCCCAATATGTACACTACCTGTTTGGATCAAACAGTGTAAATAATATGCTTGTGAGATTTACTGAAATTCTAAATCCTTTGTAATTTCTGATGTAAAACAGAAAATACTGAGCTGTTTAATCCTGAAAATCATTCCCAAAGCTCTTGTAGCAAGGACGAGGATAGTTGTCTATAATATTATTCTAATTTTTGTACACTTGGTTTGGACCAAGACCAACCACAGAAAATGTCTTTAACTTCTGTAGCCTGACAAGTTCTGATTTAAAGATCATGAGGAAAACCATGATTAAACGAGCACAGATTCAGGGAGAAGGACAATTGGAAGACAATGAGTTCAGAATTTAGTGAACGTACATTTAAGATATGCAACATCTCCTTCTAAAGTAGACTGAAACAATTTGTAACTTCTAATTAATTTATTGCAAACCTTTTTCTATGTAAATTGTTACTTAAATTGAGCAAACCCAAAGTGGCCACATGATGGTGCCAAGTCACAGCAGTAAAAAATGAGTGCCTTATATAAACAACATACACCACTTTGGGAATGAATTTGTTGTAGTCTGTTACACATTCCCCTTTCCTCAAAAGTGGTGGCTGCAACCCAGAGAACCTGATGAACTGTCGGAGGGATGCATACTTCGGAGACCATTTTTCACTACCCTAGTTACCGGGTCAGCCATAGATTTTTTTTTTTTTTTTTTTTTTTTTAAATGGGCATAAACACAAATGACTCTCCTTATCTTCATTGTTGGGTTTATACCGTAATAATGTACACTACAAGTTAAATTAGGATAGCTTTAGTAATTCAGATAAAGAACAAATGGCAGGTATTTTTTGCAATAAGGTAGCAGAGCATTACTAATGACAGCCATAGTAAAAAACCAAACCCAAATCTATCCCTCTTT